TAGGGAAATGTCAAGCAAGAGGCTGATTTTTTCTTTTAAGAACGACATAAATCTCACACTTGATGAGGAGAAAGTGGCACAAGGAACCATCATTGACTTCGACTTGGACTTTGAGAATATGAGGGACCCCTGTTAAATGTGGTTAGCCAGGCATAAATGGGTGGGTTGAAATCAGTGCTCGGATTCCAAAGCAAGAAAGAGGAGACACCAGTAAAGAAAAGAAAGTTCTAAGAGGTTAAAGAAGAAGTTAGAGAGACTGACAGCTCAGCAAGGAGGACCAACCAAATACAGTCCATGATCATGATAAAATAAGGCAAGCTCATTAGTGCACCATTGAGCAAGTCTCTAAGAGCTCTGCCTGAAATAAAGACACCCTATAAATGGATGCAACACAAAAACCCTAACTGTTACAAACACAAAATGCTTGACCGGCTAGAAAGGAGACAGGTGGGATAATCAGCTTTGGAGGATGTCACAACCACATGAGAAGAGAAGGTGCTTGAGTAGTCAGCAGGAGATGCTCTACCCCAGTTTGTGACTGGACAATCATAGTCAGATTCAGCCAAGGATCACACCTTCCAGAATACACGTCAGTCGGACCATGTGTAGAAAGTGCATAATGCACTACCTCCCCAGCAGTACAGAAGAGTGAGGAACATCTAGATGTAGAGTTGTATATTCTACAGTTTGTTAAGTCGAGACAGCTACATATTTTTCCTAAAAACAAGTTAGAAAGGTTCCAGAGGGTCTGGAAACATAACTTTGAATACTTTGAGAGGATGCAGGGAAAATATGTTAACATCTTAGATGGATTAGAGTTATACACTGAGGTGTTTTCTAAGAACGAGCAGATAAAGATAATCGACTGTGCCTTCAACTTAAGGGATAGAGGCCGAGCAGGCTATTTGAGAAAGATAACGTATTCAGAGCCCCAGAAATGCATGAGGGGCAAAGGAAGAATCACTATCTAGTGTGGATACTGCTATAATTTTTCTTATGACAATGAAGGGAATCCCTCAGGGATCATTAGACATGATGAGGTGGACCCGATACTATCAGTCATAAAAAGGATGATCAAAAGGATGGTATCCCGACGCATCTTTCCAGTTGATTGTGTGCCCAACAACTGTGTAATCACTATCTACAAAGAAGGAGATTGCATTTCACCCCACATCAATCATCATGACTTCCTGAGGCCGTTCAACATGGTCTCTTTCATTAGTGAATGCAATATCAGGTTCAACAAAGAATTATAGATAGTTGGCCCAAGAGAGTTCCGAGGACCAATTGATATCCCTTTGCCCGTCAGATTAATTTTGGTACTCAAGGGAAATCGGGCAGATCTAGCAAAACACTATATCCCAACAGTCCCACAAAGAAGGGTTTCGATTACCTTTAGAAAAATGGATGACATTAAAGCACCATTTGGTTATCGGCCTGACCTAGATTTGGAAGGATTACGACCTTTAGAGTTGTGAGACATCACACCTCTAAGCATATGCAAGAGGACTTTTGTTCCGGCGTGCACCTTAGGAGGTAAGGTTGGTCTTCACATGACTCCAAGAGACTGAGAGAGTTTTCTACATGGAAGAAGGGAAGGTGTGAAATTGAATGTTACAATATATGGATGGATATAGCTATTGTGTTTTGGTTGAGATGGTATCATCATATTATAATCTACAGTATTAGATTTCAAAGAAAATCAATAAAGATCATTTTGACTTCAGTAATTCAGTTAGCATATTCTAAATTTGTCACATTGTGTGGTTGTTTTAAAGCCGTTGAACTGAATGTTGATCCAATTTTACAAATACCAATGAACAAGGAACAACACACGAATGTGTAATAAATAACGTATAAAATGGCACTAATGAAAACTCAAAATCAAGAAAAATTTTGAAAAAAATGAAATGACGAGAAAATCCAATGAACAAACTAATGGCGAAACTTCATAGGATGCCACACTTTTTACAATCTTCATCAACACCAAAGATCTCACACACCTTCGCAGGTTCTACATCAATCACCACATGAATCGAAATCAAACAACATAAATCAAGGCACTTTCACAAATTTTGCAAACTTCCACCATCTCCGTAAATTTCACACTCACAAATCCTCATACTTCCGTAAATCCTCGCAATTCCATAGCACCTCCACATTCCAAAAATTTCTGAAATTCATGATTTCTTTCTCAGCACTCAGCAATTGGGATAGGTGTGAGACCACCTTAAATAGATCACAACATATGATTACTTTCTCAGCACCCAGTAATTTGAATAGGCATGATACCCCCTTAAATGGATCACGACATCTGATTCCTTTCTCAACACTCAGCAATCTGGATAGGTATGAGGCCCCCTTAAATGGATCGCAACATCTGATTCCTTTCTCAGCACTCAACAATCATGATGGGTTTGAGAACTCCTTAAATGGATCATGACATCTGATTCCTTTCTCAG